CATTTAGCAACATCTGGAGGCATTTTTGGCTATTAAAACTGGGCTATGCTGCTGGTATCTAGTGGATAGAGGCCAGAGACACTGCTAAGCACTCTGCAATGCACAGGAAATAATTATCCATTCCGAAAAGCAGTGTCAAGCTTGAGAAACCCCGTTCTATTACTACTACTAAGGATATACCTCCTAATCTCTAGGACTCAAGTGGAGAAAAACTTGTTTTTAGTATCACGGACTTAAACTCAGAGCACATTTTCTTCATCAAAACTAAGTCATAAATGGTAGTTAGCTTCAGCAGCACATGATAATATGCATTTACACAGTTACATAAATACAGTGGCAAAACAGTATTTCAGGACTTGGAATTTAAAAAGTATATTCAGGGTTCCAAATACCTTATGGAAGCATACACTTACAAACGCCTTGTATTCAACTCATTTAACAAATATTGACCAAACAACTTCTACGTCATGCACTGTGATAGATACTGAGAATTCAACAGCGAATCTCTACTTCATGGAGCTTACAGTACTGAAAATTTCTTTTAATTATCATTTAACAAATTATTATTAAATATTTAATAGATATCAGTTCTCTGGGTAAAATAAATATGAATACAGTATAGTTACTGTCATAGAGGAGCTCATAATCCAGCAATGGAATGACAATGACATGCAAGCAAGAGACTGTAAAGCCAAGTAGTAGCACATTCCACATTTGTGATGTACTTTCTTTTTCCCCTTTCTTTATTTAGAAAGAAAATAGTATGATTTCCAAACTGCAATGGAAGTAGCAAGTGTTATAGGAGTTTGGCATAATCTGGTTGGGGGCAGTGGCTCGCACCTATAATCCCAGCACTTTGGGAAGGCAAGAAGGGCAGATCACGAGATTAAGAGATCGAGACCATCCTGGCCAACATGGTGAAACCCAGGTCTCTACTAAAAACACAAAACTTAGCTGGGCGTACTGGAGTGCGCCTGTAGTCCCAGCTACTCGGAAGGCTGAGGCAAGAGAATCACTTGAACCCGGGAGGCGGAGGCTGCAGTGAGCCAAAATCACACCACTGCACTCCAGCCTGGCGACAGAGTGCGACTCTATCTCAAAAAAGAAAAAAGAAATTCGGCATACTCTAAACGCTTTTCTTTTTCCGAGACGCAGTTTTGCTCTTGTTACCCAGGCTGGAGTGCAATGGTGCGATCTCGGCTCACCGCAACCTCCGCCTCCTGGGTTCAGGCAATTCTCCTGCCTCAGCCTCCCGAGTAGCTGGGATTACAGGCACGTGCCACCATGCCCAGCTAATTTTTTGTATTTTTAGTAGAGATGGGGTTTCACCATGTTGACCAGGATGGTCTAGATCTCTCGTGATCCACCGGCCTCGGCCTCCCTCTAACGGCTTCTTTTTATAAATTTGTCCTCCTGCTTTTTTCATCTAAGTCTACGGGGACAAAACTATACCTTATGTAGCCTCTTTTTAAAATCAAGGATATTATAAAAGTTTGTGGAAAAGTTTAATTTAAACTAAATATATGTCATTCTATTCTCCTCTTACCTGTGTTGTGTTATGTATCTACCCATCCACCCTCACCATCATCTTCTTCAATGATAGCTTCCAATTCATCTGAATATTCTTTATAGCAGTGTGAGAATGCACTAATACACAATCACATTGGTGTTTAGATTCCAATATATGCATTTTTCAGGGAGGCATGAACATTCAGATCATAGCATATCCTTTATTCCAACTTGCTCATCTTTTCCCGTATTCACTCGCCCTTTATATGAGACCAAGTTTATTTTAGTCCTGCTACTATCTATTTGTGTAACTTTAGGCAAACTTGTCAACCCTCTGGGCCTGTTTTCACACTTATAAAATGTAAATGGTTTTGGAATCTGAGTTTATAAATAAACTTTGACCTTAATACACACTAGTTCATTGACCTGAACAAATCATGCATTTTTTCTAAGCCTCAATGCCTTCATTTAAAAATGAAAACAATGATACCTCATTTGGTTGATGTGAGGAAAATATATACATAAAGTGCATAGCAGAGTGTTTGTGCATCATACTTAATACAGGAGCTATTATTCTTCCTGTTCCTGGGCTTGATATCTTGGAACCCCTTTTTATTTCTTCTTTCCCATATCTAGGTAATGGCCAAATCTTACCGGTCATTCCTTGGTAGTGTCTTGATAGTAACTTTCCCACTTACTACAAGGCACCATGCGGGATAGTTTACGCATGTTGTTTTTCATCTTTGCTGTCACCTACATTGTAGGTATTGAAATTTCTGCTGGGGAAGCAGCTTCAGAGGTCACATGGCTAACCAATAGCCAGCAGGAGTTTAAACTAAGTCTGGTTACCTTTAAAGCCAGCTCTGTTTCCACTCTCCTGGCCTTTCTCATTTTTTTTCTTTTTGTTCCCACTTCTGTCAGTCAAATCAGTCTGTTCCAAACATGTGCCTGTTGGCCTCTCGGCCTCCTCTCTCCCAGCTCTATTTTATCCCGTCCGTGACCACCCGATTAACCTCCGTTAAACACCAGCCTCTACTTCCTTCGTGGGAGATATTTGGCAACACTCCATTACCCCTTGAAGGCATCTGGCATTTAAGGCCTCTCTGTCAAGCTTAATTTTCTTATATTTTAGCCAAATGGCTGTTTTTATGTTCCTTCAATGTGTAACGTATGTTTTTGTGATTTTTTTTAAAATAAGTTTTTCTACATGAAAAAGTACAGCCCAGATTATCTGATTAGTGACATAAAAACTCTACTGACTGGATAAGCCTGTCATTGTTACTATTGTTATTATTTTGACACACACAACTTATTTAGCTAGATCTTGGTACAGATCCATGAAATGACACACATTAAGCACATTTCATTAGAGCTATTATGGAAGCCTGTTTTCACACTTGGTATCTCTTCTCAGTATCCTTGAGTTTAGCAGTTACTTGAATCTTATATCTATCCTCTTGGCATCCCTAGTGTTTTCTGATGCATTGAAATCTATTATGGAAATCTACATGGTAGGTATAGAGCTCAAAGATATCCATTGCAATATTATTAACAGAAGTAGAAAGCTGAAAATGATAAATGTCATCTTTAAGAAAATAGGTGAGCCTATTATGAACATTATGAATCAATTAAAATAATCTTTGCAAGGAATTTTAAGCACATGGGAATGGCCTTTGATGTATATGACAAAAGAATCAGGATAAGTAAGCAATAATAGCAACAACAAAAGCAGGATATAAATTACCTGTTTGTTAAGACCTCAAATATAATCAAGTATAGGAGGAAAAACCCTCTTGATTTCAGTATTATTAATATGTGTTTCTTAGCTTTGTTATGATTTCCTGTACTTTGCAAGATTTTTGCTATAAAGGCATAACTTTTTTTTAATCATACAACATAATGTCATGACTTATAACAAGTAAGGACACAGGGATTATTCTCTATGTTTGGGGGTCCCCAAGGTTACTTCTAGATTCACCAATTTATTAGGAGGATACACAGGACTCAGCATGCAGTCCTACTGATGACCATGATCTATTACAGCAAAAAGATACGTTAGATAAAATGATTTATCCAGCAAAATCCAGAGAAAACCAGGAGCAAGCTCTCAAGAGTTCTCTCTCAGTGGAGTTTCACACTTGTTTAATTCCTCTAGCAATAGGCTGTGACAGCACATATGAGATCTCATCTACTAGGAAAGCTTATTAGAGATTCAGTGCCCAGGGTTTTCACTGGGGGTTTATCATACATGTAGCTTCTGCCTAGCATGCACCAAAAATCCAGACTCCCAGAAGGAAAGGAGATGTTAGCCACATTGTACAAATAGTTGAGGCATGGTGAGCCCCTGTCAGGGAAGGGTGGGAACCCTCCTAAAATCCAGGTTCTAGGATGCCAGCTGGGGCGAATTTTGAGGAAGCCTTTCTTGGCTACCAATCTCAGGCCTACGATATTAACTGGTTTCTGCACATTCCTTGCCCCTAATGCCTCACATTTCCAGATGTCCTCACAGAATGAATAACAGGAATACCAGGAATCTTCCTCCTTTCTACCTGCCCTTCCATTACAAGCACTAAATTTATTCCACAAGTCCATGGCAATATGAGCACCTGGTTCTTCCCACCCACGCTTTCTCAGGGCCAGAGAGATGGTCTCCTGTGTGAGGCCAGCTGGTGAGGCTGGCATAGAGCCAGGAGAGCATAATTAGCACACTAGTGCCAGCTTCTGGTGCCTAGCTCCTCACTTTGCGTGATTTTCCTTTAGTTCCAACTACTTAAAAATCAGTTAGATAGCAGTCATTAGAACACAAGCAGCAACACGTAACTAATTGTCCCAGGAAGTTAATTCCTGCACACCTGGGGCTCTCAGCAAATTTTACTTCCCTTCTGCAAGCAGAGCGTGTCAACATACCTGTCTAGTGAGACATAGTCTAGAGCAATGACTTCATGCCTGTCTTCTGTCTTCCTGGGGAGACTTCAAGACATGGGCTTGCACGCTCCTTTTCTAGTCCCACCTCTGTTGTTTGGGTTAATGATACTACTTTTTCATGGCGGTCTTTGCCAGCACAGAATTGGGAGGTGAGTTGATGCAGTTGTTTGCTCCCACTTCCTGTCCTCCATCAATCATGTTCATTTCCTCCACCATCCGCTAGTACCTGGCTTGACACCTGTGTACCTAGCTAAGCTACAGTTTCAGTTTAAAAGGAAGTTCGTATTCTTCCTACCCCCTCTGGCCCTTTCCACAGTCTGTATTCAATGGAATCTGAGGCTCTTTTGCCATAAAACAAGCTTTTTCTCCTGATGGAGGCAGACCCCCTGTATTTTACTGAATTTCACTGAGTGGAGAAAGCATTTCTGCTTACACTTGCCTGCTGTGTTCAGCCTTTACCCTTGAGGCTCATAGTTATGTATAAGTACGTAGTCAATGGGATGAAAAATTTATTATTTTAGGCAGATGTTTACTTTTGTTTTTCATTTCCACCTCCCCTGCTCTCTTTAGTGACTTATGTTGATGAAGATGAAGATGAAATACTTGAATTATCATCAGATCAAACATTCTTGGTCTCACTGAAGATTCCAGAGGAGTGTGTTGCTGAAGAGGATTTGCCTCACCTGCTCACCGAAAGGGTAATTCCATCTTACGTATGGCTTAAGGAGTTCTTGATATTTGGATTATTTGTCTGTATTTTAGCAGGAAATGATGCTTATAAATATATTGTCTGACCAAATACTGCATGTTCTCACTTACAAGTGGGAGCTGAATCATGAGAACACATGGACACAAAGTGGGGAACAACACACACTGGGGCCCACTTAAGGGTGGAGGGTGGGAGGAAGGAGGGTGGGAAGAAGGAGAGGATCAGAAAAAAATAACTATTGGATACTACTAGGCTTAGTACCTGGGTGGCAAAATAATCTGTAAAACAAACTGCTGTGACACGACTTTACCTCTATAACAAACTTGCACATGTTTTCTCCTGAACATAAAAGTTTGTTAAAAAGAAATAAGTAAATATCTTTACTGTAGTGCAAAGCCAGAAGGAAGAGTCCTGGCCTCCAGTTGCATAAATGCTGGAGGATGCTGTTCTTTTAACTTCCTCAGGTCCTATATTTAATCCAACCTGTAGTATTCATTGAGGGTCTGCGATGTGCTAGACAGCACGCCAAGTGCCAGACCACATTGTGCCCTCAGTGGGCTCACAGTCCAAGTACAAGAAGTAACTAAAAAGATAGGTTTATAACAGCGTGATGTGTTCTAGCGTGGTTTTCAATGGCAAAGGAGAGGCGCCTGAGCGACCTGAGGTGAAGATGAAGGCGTGAAAGCCTTTAAGTGAAGTGATGCTCAGGATGAGTTTTGAAACGAGGTAGGAATTTTCTAAATAAAAAAGCATGGAACATCAAAGGATGTGCAAAGTAGAATACTGTGGCCTTCCAATGCTGTGTGGTGACAGCTTGCAGAGATGAGGCTAAAAAGGAAGGCAGGGTCAGGTCATGAAGGCTTTCCCACTCTTTGGTAAGCCACCAAAATATTTTAATCAGCAGATTGACATGGTTAGATTGATTCCTTCTAGCCTTTCTGTGTTTTGGTGGAGAAAGACTGGAGGAAGAGATCAGTTAGAAGGTGTTGCAATAGTCCAGGTGAGAGATGAGGGAGGCTTGAACTAGGGCAGTGTCAGGAAAACAAGGAAGATTTGCATGAGGCTTAAGAGGTATCCTCACCCAACAGGAGTCTGTGACTGACTGGGTGGTAGTGAGGGAGAGCGTAACTCCAGGCTCTGGTTGAGTGATTGGACAGATGGATGGTGGTGTCAGTCATGGGGTGAGAAATGCAGCAGAATGAACCCCTGTGTGAGATGGAAGCTCTGCAACCAGACTAGGAGGGTTGGTTGGGTCATCCTGATCATCCTGTCAAAGACAGGGTGGTTCACAGCCAGACCCAGAAATTTTGGTAAGAAAATCTAGGCAAGAGCCGCCTGCCCTCTGTTAGACTCTTCTCTGCCATTGCTGGGTTGAATGGAGTGAGTGCTGGTTATCTGGCTTCCATTTGATTTGATTCCTACAAAAGCTCCTGAAGAGGCGGTTCCATCCAGGTCACATCAGAGTCAGTTTCTGGGCACCCGTGCATACAATTTGATTGCTTCTTTATCACAGGAGTTTGTATCCTGTGATGATTACTCCAGGTTTCTCTTTCTCCTTCTCTTCATTTATATCTTTGAAATTTTTTTTGGATTGTTTAAATTTATTTATTTTATTTTTATTTCTATAGGTTTTTGGGGACCAGATGGTGTGTGGTTACATTAATAAATTCTTTAATGGTGATTTCTGGCTTTTTGTGCACCCATCACTCGGGCAATGTACACTGTACCCAATTTGTGGTCTTTTATCCCTCACCCCTGCCACCGTTTCCCTCGAGTCCCCAGAGTCTCTTCCTTTATATCTTATCTTCAGCTCCCTTTTCTCCTTTCCTCCCAACTGCTTCCTGAAGCAAGTTGCAGAGTGAGAAGCTTCTTGCTGCTTTCTTCTTGGTTGCTTTTTTAAAGGAAAGGTTTTGCATTTGCTGAGCAGAAATAAAACGAGTCAGCATCCACATGTGTCACCTATAGCAGAGAAAACTGTCTATTTCAAAGGGAAATGAATGGTCATTTTTCATCTTACAACCATATCTCTTGCACAGAGGCAGAAACAAGGAAATTCTTTAGGTATTTTGAGCTCATCACTAGGTAGTGGCAAAGGAGCAGGGACTGACGTTGATGCCTGTGGCAGATCCACAGATTTCTCTGAGCCATTTTCTTCTCTGATAAACGGAAATCAGTGCAGTTTCTCTGTATACCTCAGGTGCAAATGACATTACATAAAAATAACTTGAAAAACATTTTTAAAGAATTACCATATTTACAGATGATCAAAGGAAGGCATAGTGAGGTGACAGATTCCTGCCCTTCATTTACCAAGCAAATATGCTCAGGAGGTGTTGCTGTCTTATTGTAACATCAATAGCTCCTTTCTTCCATTAGGGCAACTTTCAGAAGTTTCTGGTTATAAAAGGTAAATGGAAATGGGTATTTGTGGAGGAAAAACTATTTTTTTCTCTATATTCACATTCAATGCAGAACACTTCTGTGGCCACATGTGTGGTTTTTTCCACACCAACCGATTGTCTGCCACCAGCTGCGTGTCCTGCAATCCAGTTCAATTCTGACGTGATCTGCCTGGAGTTAGTGCAGACCCCACAGTTTAAGGGTTCAGCCCCACAAAAATTCCCTCACTTAAGATGCCAATTACAAGTCTAGGTTCTCACTTTTGCTTCCAATCAAGCAGCTGCAAATTGGAGGTTTTCAAAACCCCGCCTCAGGTTTGATCATTTGCTAGAATGGCTCACAGAACTCAGGGAAGCATTACATGTATGGACACATGTAATGTGTCCTTTACGGGCAGAGGATATCAAAAGGCAGATGAAAAAGTACATAGGGCAGGCATGTGGGAAGGAGCGCGAGTGTCCATGTCCTTTTCAGCTATGCCAGCCTCCCTTGTGTAGATGTGTTCAGTCACCTGGGAGCTCTCCAGACTCTCTTTTAGAGATTTTTATGGAAGTTTCATTACATAGGCATGATGGATTATTAGCTCTCTCTCCAGCCACTTTCCCCTCTGGAGGATGCGGGGTGAAGATGGGGCCAAAAGTTTCCTCCTCCTCCTCCTTCTTCTTCCTCTTCCTCTCCTTCACAGTTCTATGTTCTTCTTCTTCTCTTCTCCTTCCCCTTCTCCTCCTTCTTCTTCCTTTCCCTTCCTTTTCTTTTTTTTTTGGGGGGGGGGGAGGAAGGCAGGAAGGAAGGGAATAAGGACGGTAGGGAGGAAGGAAGGGATGAAGGAAGGAAGGGAGGAAGTGGGGAGGGAGCGAGGGAGGGAGGGAGGGGAGGGAGGGAGGGAGGGAAGGGAAGAAAGGAAATCAAGCAATGAAAGAGACATTGCCGACCTGGATCTAGAGGTTTACAAGTTGATTTCTTTTTTTTTTGAGAGAAGGAAAGAAAAAAACAATAAGTAAAGGATAGGAAGAAAGAGGAAGAGAAAGAGGGAGAGTAAATGGAAATATTGCTTTATTTTGAAAAAAATTGGGTATTAATAATGGCCAATCAATGTTTCATTTAAACTTATGGGTAGGTGTGATGTGGTATTGACAAGAATGTATATTTTATGTATTTAAAGTGGAGAGCTCTATAAATATTTATTAAGTTTACTTGTTCCGGATCTGAGTTCGAGTCCTTAATATCCTTATTAATTTTCTGTCTCATTGAATCTAAGTCTCGTATCTGGGTGTTAGGATCGTTAGCTCTTGTTGTTGCATTGAGCCTTTTACCACTACGTCTTTGTTGCTTTAAAATCTATTTTATCCGATACAAGAATTGCAACTCCTGCTTTTTATTTATTTATTATTTATTTTTGCTCTCCATTTGGTTGGTAAATCTTTCTCCATCCCTTTGTTTTGAGTCTTTGTGTATCCTTGCATGTGAAACAGGTCTGGATGTAACATGCCGTTGGGTTTTGGCTGTGTCTTTTGATTGGGAATTCAGTCAATTTAAATTTAGGGTTACTGCCGTTAGATGTTGACTGGCTGTTTTATCCATTTGTTGGTGTAAATTCTTCTTTATGTTGGTGCTCTTTACTTTTTGGTGTATTTTTAGAAAGGCTAATACTGGTTGTTTCTTTCTGTGTGTAATGCTTCTTTCAGAAGCTCTTGTAAAGCAGGCCTGGTGGTAATAAAATCTCTGACTTCTTGCTTGTTCATAAAAGATTTTATTTTTCCTTCAGTTGTGAAGCTTAGTTTGGCTGGATATGAAATTCTGGGCTGAAGGTTCTGTTCTTTGAGGATGTTGAATATTGGCCCCCACTCTCTTCTGGCCTGTAGAGTTTCTGCCGAGAGATCTGCTGTAAGTCTGATAGGCTTGCCTTTGTGGGTTATCTGACCTTTCTCTCTGGCTGCCCTTAGTATCCTCTCCTTCGTTTCAACCCTGGTGAATCTAACGATTATGTGCCTTGGGGTTGCTCTTCTTGAGGAATATCTTTGTGGTGTTCTCTGTATTACCTGGGGTTGAATGTTGACATGCTTTGCTAGTTTAGGAAAATTTTCCTGAATAATATCCTGAAGGGTATTTTCCAGCTTGGATTCATTCTCTCCGTCGCATTCAGGTACGCCTATCAAACGTAAATTTGGTCTTTCACATAGTCCCACATTTCTTGGAGACTTTGCTCATTCCTTTTTATGCTTTTTTCTCTAATCTTTTCTTCACGTTTTATTTCATTAAGTTGGACTTTGACCTCTGATATCCCTTCTTCTGCTTGAACAATTCGAGTGTTTAAACCTGTGCATACTTCTCGGAGTTCCTGTATTGTATTCTTCATTTCCATTAATTCACTCATACTCTGCTCTAAGTTGTCTATTCTCAATAGGATTTCATCAAACCTTTTTTCAAAGTTCCTAGTTTCTTTACGTTGGGCTACAACATGTTCTTTTAACTCATCGAAGTTTGTTATTATCCATTCCTTGAAGAGTGATTCTGTCATCAGGATGCGCTCGTTCTCCATCAAACCTTGTTCCATTGTTGATGTGGAACTGTGATCATCTTTAGAGGGAGAGGCGTTCTGATTTTGAGTATTCTCAGCTTTTTTACGCTGGTTTCTTCCCATCATTGTAAATTTATCCTCCTGCTGTCTTTGAAATAACCAACTTTCAGATTAGGTCTCTTGAGTGGACGTCCAGGTTGTTAGTTCCCAGGGCCAGAGCAGCGGCGTTAAAACTGATGGTGCTTTTCTGCCCAGGATTCTCCTGTCGGGCTTCCTTCTTGTGTCGGTAGTAGGCGACTCTGCCTTCCCGGGGCTCCAAACCTCGGTCAGAAGGGGAACGGGTCCCGTTTACTCTGCGCCGAGTGCTGCCGCGTCGAGGTGCCGGCGGAACCGCTGCGCCGACCACGAGAGTCGTGCTGGCGACTCATGTGTTTCCACCACTGGGGGATCTTCTGCTTCGTGAGCGACCAGACTTTGTCTGAAAGTGTGGCATCCTCTAGTTCTTCGTGCCTTCCCTGAGAGCTGCAATCCCGGGATGTTAGCGATCGGCCATCTTGGATCGTTCCTCCCTTCCTTTTCTTCCTCTTCCTTTCTCTCTCCTTCCTTTCTTTCTTCCTTGCTTCCCTCCCTTTCTCCTTCCCTCCCTCCCTCCCTCCTTCTCTCCTTCCCTCCTTCCCTCCTTCCTTCCTTCCTTCCTTCCTTCCTTCTTTCTCCTTCTCCTCCTCCTCTTCCTTCTCTTCACTCTCTCCATTCTTCTTCTTCTTCCCCTCTCTCTCTCTCTGTCTCTCTTTCTTTCTTCACAGTTTTCACTCTGTTGCCTCGGCTGATATCAAACTCCTGGCCTCAAGCAATTCTCCCCACTTAGTCTCCCAGGTAGCTGGGATTACAGGCGTGCACCATCTCATCCTCTCAGGGTTGGGACCACTACTCTGCTTAAGCCAGCTTGTTATTTACATGTGAACTGCCACACCCTGTGCATGGGTGAGGAGTTAATGATGGCACCTCTCTTATTCTGGAAGCTGTGTCTAATTAGCCACTGCATCAGACTCAACTAATCAAGTCACTGAGCTACTTGCTCAGTTTGCACCAAGCCTCATAGACATTGTGTGGGAGACACCAGAATAAGGGTTGAGGAGCCCCCATCCCCCACTTCACTTCTTTGGGCCCAAGGTGGGGCAGTGTAACTAACAGGTCCCAAAATGTAAGTATGTCCTAAGTACAGCAGAGGAGCATGTTATCAAAAAGAATCTTCCAATGCACACTGAAAGTGGATCTAATCCACCACTCCATAAGTTACCTGAAAATTTTAACTTAAAAATTTTGCTGAAGACCTATTATGTGCAAAACACTTACTGGGCCCTAAAGATTAATACAGGAAAGAAGGGAAGGAGGAAGCAGGGAAGACTGGAAGGAAGGACAGACATCACCCCTGCCATAGGAAGCTCAATCCAAAAGGAAGAGAGAGACATGAGTGCTTGACATTAGTGCTTGAAGAGATTCTCCTCTGCAGCATCCTCATCCTCTCCCCATCACAGCATCCCTGTGAAAGCTGCTTTCCTAGTTCGTGTGTTTTCTAAATAACTGTCAGCCTATCAGCAACGTCCTGTGCACTGGGGTTTAAGAGCTGTGAAATGACCCAGTCATTTTCTCTGAACGTTTTTGTCCCTTTATGCTTCTTCCCTCCTCAATATTCAGGAGACACTTTTCTTCACTGTATATGTATCCATTGCATCCTCACTGGGTCTGTGGTAAGATGGGAAGAAGCTAGTTTTTCGTGTCCATAACACTTAGGATTGAACTTTGGCTTCTCTATGAGCAGAGTGATCTGGGGCAGGTTTCTTAATCTCACAGAATGGAGTGCTGTTTTATCTTCCAGCGAAAAGGGGAGATATGTTAATCCCTGTTCTGCCAGGTTTTTATAAAGATCACAATAATAATGACAAGATTAGAAGAGCACAAATAGCAGGTACTCTCATCTGTTGTTCTCTCTTTGAGAGATGGGTTGTACATGTTGCATTCAATGGGAACGCATTGTGGAAGTGCAGTGTCCTTGATATTCCATTTAGAGTTGAGGGGAGACAAGGTGAGCTCCATAGGACACTGCTATTTTCTGTATGTTCTACCGCTTGTTATTGAATGAAGTAATAGGTCATTAAGCTGTAATGACTGTAGCTGGGGATGGCATATGCTCCTGAGTACTGTTAGTTTAGGATTCAGATCTCTGAAACACAACTACTCAATGCCTGGGGAAAGATATTTGTAACATAATATCAACAACTAGAATCCAGAATATACAACTAACCACTTTAGATAAATAAGAAAAAGACAGAGAAGCCAAGAGAAGGACAGGAAATGAGTGAGAAATTCAGAGACTGGAAGTCCCAAAGAGTTAATAAACCCAGGAAAAGATGTTCCCCTCTCTAGTAAGCAAGGCGGTACAAATTAAAACATTATGAAGCACTATTTCGTACCCATCAGAGTGGCAGAAATTTAAGTTTGGTAACACTAAGTGCTGGTAAGGATGTGGGGCATGGATATGTATACATTCCTGGGAGGAATGGGAAAGGGAGAGCAATTTTTGTGGAGTTGGAGATGCACCTACCCTTGGACCCAGCAATTCCTTTTCTTGGTGTATGCCCAGTGGGAACTCCTACATGTCCAAGAAGAGATGCACAGAGACATCAAGGATGATTGCTTTAGCTTAGAGTGTAATAGGGGAAAGTTGGAAATAGTGCATGTGATCACCCACAGAGGAATGGATAAGCTGGCATCATCATTTAAAGGAATCTATGCAGAAGTTAGGTGAATGCCCTTTATTGGGATTTACTTCATGAGTAAATCTTAAATATAACTCTGAGTGGAAAAAAAGCAAGTTTTAGAAGATTATGTAGAATATGGTGCCTTTTGTTTGAATACAAACACAAATTATAGTTTGTTATGATTATATAAGGAAGTAATTTGTAAAAATACATAAGGAAGTAGTAATTTGCAAGGAAAGATGCATGCCACTTTCGGGGTGATGGTTAGTACGAAGGAAGAGAGAGAGGAGGAACTGAATACTATGTAGGAGTCACTTTAGCTTTATTTTATTTTTTAAATTAAAGGGCTAAACCCAATATAGCAAAATGTGAAGACATGAAAGCTAGGTAGTGGAAACACAGGTGTCATTATTTTTCTTATGATGCTTGCAATGTTTCATGCATTAAATAAAGCCGCTGTATTTTTGCTAGACCATGGCTTAGCATGGCTGTTTGTCTTTGCAATGAAGCTCTGGAGAAGGAAGAAAGAAACCCTGGGCTAAGCAATGTCCCCGGTGCTGAGTGGTCTGTGCTGCTGCTGTCCAGCAGCTGCTTCTGGGTCTTCTCTCCTTCTACGGTCTGTGAGGTCTGTGTGGGCTCCAGCTGCTGACCTTCTCACCACTAAGGCCACGAGGTGCCAGTGTAACTTCTGAGAGAAGCTGAGTCATGTGGTCCTTATAAATGCAGTTATTTTGAAATAGTGTTAACTTGAGTTTTGGTTTACGATAGGCTCAAATGTTCCTAGGTCTAGATCCAGAACCTCCAGATGAGTTGATTCCTGGCTAGAGTGGAATCTCCTTCGTCTTAAAGTAGTTTTGCTTTGTCAGGTGATGTGTAATGTGATCTGTCCGTAATGTGTGTGGTTTTATTTGCGTCTGTTGGTTTTAGCTCACAGATGTGTACGGTACATCGCCCTCTCTGAGTCGTTATTTCACTTCAGTTGAAATAGTGGACTTCAGGTAAGAGTGTGGAACATTACATTTTGATCTCTTCCTTTGGAAAGAGGTCCCCCCACCCCACCCTTCATCATTTACCTAGCAGGGCTTCCCAGAGCCTCAGAGCATGAAGGGAACCAGTAATAGAATCATAGAGCATCAGTGCTGGGAAGGTCTTTTACACCAACGGGCTAAACTCCCTTATTTTACAAATGAGAAAAAGGAAGCCCAGATTAGTGGTATGATTCAACCAGGGTCACCCAGTCCCAGATAAATTATTTCTGTTTCACAGTGAGTGCTCAAATAAGCTATGGATAGAAGTAGAAATCGGTCTCAGGTAATGCTGTGATGTAAGTGATATAATCTATGTATAGGCATTTGCTTTTGAGGAGCACAAGCAATACGGGAGTACATTCTCCTGTATTACTCCTTTAGTATTAAAGACATAAAGAGGAGCCAGGTGTGGTGGCTCATGCCTGTAATCCCAGGCCAAGGCGGGTGGATCACTTGAGGTCAGGAGTTTGAGACCAGCCTGGCCAACATGGTGAAACCCTGTCTCTACTAAAAATACAAAAATAAGCCAGGCATGGTGGCCGGTGACTATAATCCCAGCTACTTGGGGGGCAAAGGCAGGAGAATCTCTTGAACTCGGGAGGGGAGGTTACAGTGAGTTGAGATTGTGCCACTGCACTCCAGTCTGAGTGACAGAACGAGACTCTGTCATAAAAAAAAAAAAAAAAAAGACGAGAAGACATAAAGAGGTATGTACAGGAAATGTCTACCTTCTGCCTGCTTTATTCTCCATGGCCACCACCAATAACCGGTCCTATTCCCTTCCATGGAGTTAACAGCTGTCGAGGGTTGAGTGTGATTGCTTCTGTTTGTGTATCTGCTATAGGCACTACGGATGCCACACACCCATATGCATTTTTTATTTTTAAAATTTTCCTCTCATCTTTACTGTTCTTGAGAAGCAGGCATCAGGGTGTATGTGTGGGGAGCTGGTTTATTATCCTTTACACCATTGGGACTATTGGAGATGACTTAAATTTTATATCAAAGCTTTGTTCCATTATTCCTGAGATGGCTCTGGAATATGATCATCAAAAGTTATATGATATTGACATTCCTTTTTCAAACCTTAAGTTCTCCAAACCCTAATAATATTAGCAGACCTGGGAAGGGAGGAATTTACATTCCTCCATGGTGGCCGGTGGCACCATGGTATGGGGCCAAACAGACCTGAAGTCTACAGATACATACCATGCAGGCTGCTTTGATCTCCTTCTTCAAAGACCCCCAGTGGGCTGGGTGCTGTGGTTCAGGTCTGTAATCCCAGCAGTTTGGGAGGCCGAGGTGGGTAGATCACAAGATCAGGAGATTGAGGCCATCCTGGCCAATATGGTGGAACCCTGTCTCTACTAAAAATACAAAATTTAGCTGGGTGTGGTGGCACATGCCTGTAATCCCAGCTACTCAGGAGGCTGAAGCAGGAGAATCTCTTGAACCCGGGCGGTGAAGGTTGCAATGAGTCCAGGTTGTGCCACTGCACTCCAGCCTGGTGACAGAGTGAGACTCCTTCTAAAAAAAAAAAGACCTGCAGTGAACATGGTACTTATGATGACATCTCTGCATTTTATTTCGAGAAGTCCAGGCAGAGGTTCGAAAGTACTGAATTGAGGAAGGAAAGCCATTGCTTCCCAAAGGCACTGCTGCACATGGGTGGGAGGTGGCTAAATCCCCAACACATGCATTTGTGTCTACAGGGGCATTGCGACCTCAGCCCTAGACTGGCCCAACAGGAACATAGAAAAATGCCCTTTGGTTTATTGGCAGCTAGACTCATTCCAGTGGTGGGCAGCTGGGGGAAAGGCCCTGAAAATTCTCTTTTCTCAAAATTCAGCCTTATGTAAATTTACCCTGTGACCTGCCATGGGGGATTATCCTAATGAGCTAGCCAGGTCAGGCTAGGTGGCCTGATTTTCCCATTCAGCCTGTGACCTGGTCTTCTGAAAGTCAGCCTCTGGCCATCTTAATCAGCCAGCTGAAGCCCTTGCCCCTGGGAATGAGGGTGGCTGGCTGTCTAGGTGTTAATCATCATTAGAGATAATTAGGGGGCAGAGCTCAGGGAACAAGTTAAGACACCTGCAAACTAGGGTAGCTGGACTGCAGTTTGAAAGTGCATTTTCCGCCTCCCTGTAGTGGCATCCTTGAAACAGTGAGTTTCTTCAGAGTCTTCACTCTTCATTACTCATTCCATCTGCAGGATCTGGCACATCTCCGTTAATAACAATCCGGCCTATGTCACCTCTGGCCAGAAGAGGGAGCGCTTTGCCTATCCTAGCGGGGCCATGGCCTGATTCACTCTAATGGGACTGGTGTGTCTGCAAAACTTCCCCAAGGTCATAGTCTGGAATGTGGCGTCCTGCTAATTATTTTATTGCTGGTTCTTAATCTGGCCCATCTTGAACCAAAGTGATAAGATAACTATGAATGAACTAAATGTTGAAGCAGCATTTAAAGAGTAGCATTGGACACTTATTAATGGAGGGTAGCCCTTGATTATTTTAATTTTAGAAATGGGAAAAAATGTTCTAGGAAGATGAAACTCCCCTTTCTTCAGGTCCCATTACTGAGAGTTACAAGGCTTGGTTCTCTTGCCCTAGGGGCCTCTGGTAATGGGACAGAAAAGTTTCTCACTTTGGGACAAAGCAGGGAAGCATCATTTGTTGCTGATACACAGGGTGGTCTCTGTCAATATTCAGAAGTTCTGGACCCAGCCAATGACAGGAAACTTGGGCTGTGCCTTAAACATCTTCATAGGTCAAATAATGAACTGGTTAAATTAAATATCCCTGACACACCTTTGTGGGGGCAATGCTGAGAACATGGAGAAGGAGTGTGTGTGGAGAAAGGAGGAGGCTTCCCTGGCTTGCCTTAAGGGATGGAGGCTGGGATTGGGACCGATGCTGGGTCAAGCCTGGGATCGTCTAAGGCATCTTGACCATAGATGGGCTTCACCTTTCCCTTTGATGGCCTCTGCCAGTGGATTCCTAGAGCGTGGGTACTAGGTGGAGGAAGGGTTTAGGATCCCTTCAAATTTTTGTGATGAACCTATGTTCTTCCAGGACAGAACAGGACAGCCTTTGCTATTTGGTACTGGAAGAACATGCAAAACTTAAAAAAAAAAAAAAGTTATTGCTTAAACTCATTTTTTGAGTTGCTGTGTGATGCTATTTATGTTTTAATGTCTCTGGTTTGCCTTTCAGTGGCGAAAATGCCACAGTAACCCACCACCTGCAATATGGGGTTCCATCAGATGATGAAAATTTTATGAAGTATGTGATGAGTGAGAGGTTGGTGCTGGGCATTTTGCTACATGATTTCCATGATCAGAACATACCTGGTTGTGAGAATCTGGGGCTTGATCCAGCATCCCTCTTGCTCGATGGTAAGTAAAGGAGTCAGCGCTGCGACAATAAACAGGGGAACCAGATCGGGGTCAGATTGATGTGGTTGATTTGGCAACATTGGGGACTTGGTACTGTGTCAGACTATTCATTTATGTACTCATCCACTCAGCCCTGTAACTCTTTCTGCCCCATAACTCAGGCAGAGAGTGACAGTGTTGCTGTGAGGTGATGTTCCACTCTGTGTGGAGCCTACACATTCCATGCCCTCCAGAATTAGACAGTGTAGTTGGGGAAAACTCAAGAAAAAGATAATTTAAGTATAAAGATGAACATTGCTGCATGTTTCCTCATGCAGTTCGCCCACATTCTAAGCCCTGCATCCTACTTCACAACATGATTAGCAACCTTCATGGAGACACTGGTTTCACAAGACAAGTAAGAATTGAAGAATTTGAAATGAAGGATACAGCTAAATTGCTGAAGGGGTATCTCAGTATGGGGAACCTATTTCTTTTTCTGTTGAAGGCCACCGAGACCATTAAGAAATTAATTGAGGGGTATACAAAGACAAGATTATTCCTTTCCTTAGAAAATTATGACAAATTTACTCGTCAACTTATAAAACAAAGAACAGAACAAGGAAATAGATACGCTGTTTCATAAATGTAATAAACACCCCATTTGTGAGACTCTGAGAACTTTTAACACTCAGAACAAAACCTGGCAGAAAGGAAGGTCGGAAGGCCAAATGGCTCCAAGGCTCCAAATGTCCTTTCATTGCTCTGTAGTGAAGCTCTGGCCATTGCTGGGGACCTCACTTTCTGATACCTCGCTTGGAGGCTTGCTTACTCTTGTTTAGCTCATAATGCCGGCGATCTTGGATATTTTATGTTCTCATCCACAGTCCATCCGAATCACTTTCTCCACATCTGTAGGTACTCAGTAAATACTAGTTGAATGGGTGAGAAAGGCAAATTAGAAGTAGCTGTGGTTGGCAGCAGGTGCAGTAACGGTCTAGAATCAAAAGCATGAAACAGAGGCTTAAAAGCACACATGGTAACGCATAGTACAAGGCAAGGTGTTTAATATGATGACACTATCTCTGGAGGATGAGAGGCAAGAGTAATGTTGGCCTAAGAAGGCAGAAAGTTATGTAAAGCAGTACTTAAGAATGCAATTCAGAAGGCCAAATTTTAGCTCACTGGAAGAGTCTCATACATGGAGAGCTTCCTCACAGAGCACCCTCAATAAAATGTGTCTCTGGGGCAGGCAGACAATATACATGTCTGGAGTGAAGAGGTTGTGCCCCAGTTACAGGAATTAGAAAAAAAAAAAGATCAGGCTGGTGGCTCACGCCTGTAATCTCAGCACTTTGGGAGGCCAAGGCAGGTGGATCACCTGAGGTCAGGACTTCAACACGAGCCTGGCCAACATGGCAAAACCCCATCTCTACTAAAAATATGAAAATTAGCCAGGCGAGGTGGCAGGCACTTGTAATCCCAGCTACTCAGGAGGCTGAGGCCGGAGAATTGCTTGAACCTTGGAGGTGGAGCTTGTAGTGACCTGAGATCCCGTTACTGCATTCCGGCCTGGGCCACACAAACGAAACTCTGTCTCAAAAGAAAACAGCAACAACCCCCACCCACAACAAATCTTCAGTCTCCACCTGTGTAAAGAGGCCTGTGATGCCTGTGAGGGCTGCTGCTGTGGTGTGCTTGGTCTTGATTTTCTTAGGCTCCTTCCAAAAACTGTTATTGGCTCTTTCCAAATAGAGGCCAGGGAGGTGGGCAGAGGTCTGAGGAAAGGTTCAAGAGGATTCCGAGGCTGTGAGGTTCGTACAGCACAAGATAGGCTGCACAGGGTAGGCTGCTGTGAGGCCTGAGCAGAGCTCCGAGAAGACCCTGAGCTTGCCAGGGAGACTCAGGTGTTTCCCCAGGGCTCAGTGCTGGGAAGGCAGCTGTGGGGGAGCAAAGTCTCTGCTCTTTTGGAAATTGCACTCTTTCTCTCAGACGTTTCATCTGAGTGGACCTGCTCAGAAAATGTGGGGTTTTCTGCGACTCCATGTTCCACTTTCCAGAGCATAAATGTGCAATATTTAAGCGATTTTATGATTTTAAAATGTGAGTGTCACTGCCCTCTCAAAGGAAGGGTGCACGGAGAAGAATTGGGAAGTGAGGAAAGGAGAAGAGAGACTCATCACAGTCAGGCAGCCAGAAGGGGGATGAGGTCAGAGGCAAACTCGAGAGAGGGAAGATGTGTCAGGGAGAGGCCCAGGGCCCTGGGAGGGACCAAGAGGGACCAAGTGAATTCTTACGCCAGTTTCCACGTGCACATGAGCTGTGTGCTTGGGGGATGCCCCCATCACCCTGTGATTAGCTGGGCAACTGGTGTCTCACAATGTAATGTTCTTAGTCTTCAAAGAACAAAGATTCTTAAAATTGTTTGGTTTGTGTGCCCCTTAGAGAATTAGAAGAGAGCAGTGTGCCTCTCCCCAGGGAAAAAAAAATGTGCATACCTCTCCCCACAACACGAAATTGTATGGACAATTCCAGGGATTCTTGAGTATTTCCCTTGAGCCAGCCTATGGTCCATTCTATTTGGGGTTTATATACGTGCACTTTAGAAGCTGAATCTGAAATCACATTGTAATTTGTATTCCTGAGGGATTTTGTGTGTGTATCCTTCTCATTCTCTAATTTGGAACTATGGTGATTATTTTGACCTGACTGCGTGCATATTTTGATGCCTTATAAAAATAAAAACCTTCCTTGAAATATAATGATAAACATTTTCAAGTCCACTCTCCCTCAGTCTTCCCTATCTTTGATCTTCTTCACCTTCTAGATGAGTGGGGCCCCAGGCTAAGATGGGGAAGTCTGTTTTACAAATGTCACAGAATAGGTCAGCATCATGGGTTATTTTGGACACAGAGGGTAGGCTGGACTCCTGCTGTGTAGCCCCTGGCAGGCTCCCTCTGAGTGTGTCTGCTGAGGGACTTGCATCTGCCTGTACCTGCATCCTCGCCCGAGGGATCACAGTGTTTCTCTTATCAGGATTTCTCACAGTACATTATACACATTTTAAAAGCTGAAACTTTAGAGTTTATGGTTAGATTATGAAAAAAGCCTGGATGTTAAAATGTCTTCAGCACCCAAAACCACATCATCAAAATTGTATTTCTCATGCATCCTACCCAGAGAAATAAGCAACAAACAAGAAATGTGATTTGCCTTTTGAAATATATTCAGAGGGGTATGTGTGTATGTGGACTGAACAGTAAACTTCCTCTGTTAGTAATTTATAAACGTTGCAATTTCATCCAAGATGTTATACTCAAATCCAGTGAAATGAAATAAAAACATAAGTGTTTAATAATGGTTTTAAAAATCAGTAACTTTTGTTCATCTGTGTTATCTTTTTAGAATGAAGTGATGGAGGCCGGTCTGCATCTGAAAGCAGTGCCTCACCAAGTCCTAGAGATGAAGGGAATTCACTCTGTTTTACAGAAAAGATTCTGTGAATTAATTCAGAAGCACCAGGAACAACCAGGGAGGTGGAGACTCCTTTCTCTCCTGATTCTGCACTCTGGCTCCAAGCCCAGTAAAACAGCTCCTGAGCACTGCTTCAGCTGGGTCCACTCTTGACAAAAGCAGGAAGCCAGCTAGGGTAGAGGTGATAGAGACACGGTGTTGTTCTATCCTTTAGGCTGGAGTGCGGTGGTGCTGTCATGGCTCACTGCTATTCTTGAAGCACGCCACCAACCTGTGTTCCTTTATCTTTAGCACAGAGGTGCACTGCCTTCTTTTAGGTGGGATCACATAAGCATGAGCTGCTAGAGCAGGGAGAGGCAGGCAGCCAGGTTAGGATGACTAAGCCAATCATTCACTGAAATCACCCTTTTTCCCTCCACCGTTGTATTTGATCTACCTCTAAGCCAGGGTGTGAAGAAAAGGAAGGCACTTTAGAAGACCTCAGTGGTGTGGCTCTGTGTCTGCTTCCATGACCTGCACCTGAGTGTCTTAGCCAACCAGCCTTAGGCGCACCACCAGGGTTACCTGGGGATCTATATATATAGCTACAGATGGGAGCATGTGTTTCTTCATTGGTTTGCAACTCCTCATTGTTCCTGTGATTCCTGAACACCCTTTTTGGAAACGTGAGTCCCTGTGAGTTTTCAGCATCCTGCTCTCACTTTGGATAGTCATTCCATTTGCATTTTTTTTAAACTTACATCAGGGAATCATTAAGGCTGTGGAACATCTACTATGGATATTATGCATTGGCTTCTTGTTGCCCAGTGTTACAAACCTTCCTGTAGGACTCAGTGTCTTCAGACAATGATTGCGTATCCTGTTGCAGATGGTGGTGATACAAGAAGAACCACTCTCCTTTGAAAATAAATTGTTGGAGAGTTTTGCCAGCTATTTGGGGGGTAGGAGGAATATTAGTGACTGTGTTGGTTGTTTACAGATACAGAATTGCCTGTCTTGAGGGAACGGAGTATTTGTTTTATTGGGAAAAGAAATTTACCAGGAGAAAGAGTTTTGTGCTGTATCTTGACAGATCTCTAGCCCTAGTCTCTCAGTTAATTCAGCTCTGGGTTTGTCAGTGTGAGGGGCACATGCTAGAGTATCTGCCTCCGACTAGATTTGACTTGAGTCTTTATGACTCTGGATAATGTGAATCTCTTTCTTATTTAACTAGAAGATCCATGTACTGTAGATCATTGTCTCATTTTAGGGATTGTTCCTTAAACTAGTGAAACTAGTTGATTTCTCTTCTTCCTCTTTATTTTTTACATGTCAAATGTGAACTTTAGTGTGTTTGTATTTTTTATAAAATAATGAAAAAGTTTAATGGAGAATGATTTTAAAACATTTACAATAAATTATTTTGCATCTGTGTTGTTGCATTCTCATTGGCTCTGCTTTGGGCTGGGGTTTTTTGTTTGGGTGGTTTTTGGTTTTTTTGTAGTAAATGGTGCTGAATGTAATCTTTTCATTTCCCTGAGGGCAGCTTCCTCTTCTGGGTGAATAAGATCGAGCCAAGTTTGGCTGGGGTGGCCTGGGTCTGGTCTCTGTCCCCTCCCCTCTCTCTGAGGCCCTCTCTGGCAGGACTTGTATCTGAAAGGGCTTGGGCTTGAAGGAATGGCCTGTTCACTTCTGGGGGCAGGATTTGGCTTTGTTTTTCCCTTCTTTTTTGGAAAGCACCAGCTGCAAGTACCTTGTTTTGGGTTTTGACCATTTGCAAGTCATACAGAGGACTTTCCATAGGTTTTATTTTTCTGCCCAGATGATATGAAAAGAATTAACCTTTGTGACTCACATATTTGGGAGTGCTTGAAAAAATGGCACTTGCAAATGCGCTGATCTGCTGTAGGAGATAAAGCTACTGGTCATCACACAACGTAATGATCAGTGTAATGCCTGGCACAGAGTGAGCTTTCAATAACTGAAGGATTTGAGAAGGAAAACTGCTCTTCCCTGGATGTCACTTAGATATGGAGAGAAGGG